CCCCAAAACCCCAAAACCCCAAAACCCCATCAATTTAAAATTTGGTAGATGTGAGTAACATATAAATAAAACAGAGTAATTTTTGCATCTATATTTTAATAGTACATTAATCTAATGTCTGTGGAGGGAGACATTTTCAAAGAGAAAAAATATAAATTTTCGAGAAGATCTAATTCCAGTGTCTATGACAACCAATACCTTCTCAAAGCTAATCAAGTGCCTGTCAATGAATTCCTTAAACTTAGAATAAATTATGATGAACAACTTGAGATTTAGAAAGCTGACAGGAAAAACAAATTGATTAGTAAGAAACGATACAAGGATTTAACAGCTTAATATACTTGTACCAATAGAGACCCTAGGCTAGTGATATAAAATCAAAAAGCCAACATAGCTGCCTAGATAGGCAATACTAGTTTTAAAATGGTCAAATCATAGATAGTAGGGAATCAATACAGTTCAAGTCAAATATCTTAGGCATCAAAAGAAAGAAATGTTAGGTTCTAAAATGGTAGTGCTGTGTCTGATGTTTTGAGTCAACTAAATTCAGAATTACAAAAATATACTTATACAGGCTAAGGCTATACCCCAAGGAAAAAAGTTAATAGGAAGAAATCATTGAAGTTTCAAGAGAGTATGATCCCAGAAAATGTATTGAATAATAAGCCAGGCTCAAACCAAGCTTTGGAAAGACATGAAGTTAAAAGGCTAGGTTCAGGCTAGTCTTTAATCTTCAAATCTGAGATTAAGTCTTATAATGATGATATAATCTCAGAATTAAATGATAGAGAAAATCATCCAATGACTATGAAAAATCTCCCCAGGATGAGCTTCTCACCAAAAAACCAAGGCTAATCCCAAGAAGAATAAAATAGCTCATTTTTCAAGTAGAGAGTTAATTCTCCATCTTAGAAAAATACAGTAAAAATAATAGATCAAAGTGATTTTAATAGCCCTAATAAATCTTAACAATCCTCGCCATTAAACAATGCTAGATAGACTCCAATCATTCCATAGAAGCAATTGGTAAGCAGCTCTTAAGTTGCTGAAGAATTTTTATCATCAGGACTTGGGAAAAAATACAAGAAATTGCAGTACTATAATTCATTGAAGTATTCAAAGAATTCACCGAGAGGCAAAGAAGTTAGAATTTTAAGTGCTAATCCAGACATTCTTTAAAGATAAGGATAAAATTTCATAATTTAATAAAGAAAAATGAAAATGGAAGCTAATAGATTAAGACTATTTTCACCTCATGAGTATGCTCTTGGGCCATTTAGTGATGAATATGTTTTATCAAATCAACATTCTCAAGAAAGCAATATGTTTTCAAATAATTCTGCACTGAAAAAAATGAGGGCATCATAGGACAAATCTAAGTTGTATTCACCTACTTAAGGGGAAAATGGGCAATTTTAATGCTTTAAGCAGTTTGACTATGATAATTGGTTCATGAAAAAAATTAGAAGGATGAAAGATGTTAGTTTGCTAAAATATTAATGTCAGGACTATAAAAACAAGAACTACAATGAGATGAAGAGTTTCTGTCACAGTAGAAGAGGTTCAAATTCTATGATGAACAACTCTTAGGCTGGCAATTCAAGCAACAGATAAATTTAGAGTATGGCTAGTAGCCCAATAAAGCAGCTCAAAGGTATTTGAATTTATTAACCATACAAATAAAAGTTTATTCGCATGGCATGTTAGAGAAGAACGAAGTGCATCAATATAGTAAAGAATTATTATATGAGAACTTAATTTCATAAATTTTACATAATCTTATCAAAACGGGGTTTTGGGGTTTTGGGGTTTTGGGG